ATACATACATACATACATACATACATACATACATACATACATACATACATATATATATATATATATGCATTTTTTCTCATTCTTTATTAACTCCTAGATTGTTGCTTAAATAGATTCCATTAACGTCCTCACTTTAGCTGCTGGCCATTGAAGGCTAGACTGCTGTCAGAAAAATGCTGTCACCAAGTAACTGTTGCATTTTATATTTCTAACATATTGCTTAGACGTCTTCCTCCTCTGAAGTATATTAAGTCTTAGCAGCTATAAGGTGTTTGACTTTTGCCGTTAATATGCCAAATTTATATGATTTCTGTACCCGCATATCCACAGTTCAAGTCTCGCCTCGTGTGCTGGTGAGGCAATGGGGCGAGGCCAACCTTTTGTTGTACTTACATCTCGGTTTTTCTGGCTCTTTACGAATTTCCTCGTAAGTAAGAACCCTTGTACTTGCTCTACCATCGTATGAAGTTGGTACTTCCCCGCAACATGAGTGCTTTTGGACAAATGCAGTCTGACCCAAAGTCCCGCTTGTAACAGCGATGGGATCTAGGAACGCTTAAAAGAAGTGTCAAATTTTGAGGGGGAAGCATAATGTAATTCATTTACTGGCCTCAGCTTCGATAAAATATGCCCATGATGATGGACCCAAACTACTGTAATCGAATACTTTCCAACATTACACTCGTCTATAAGTAACTACAGCCTTGGAAACAAGACATAATTCAGGATTATTTGATTCTTTATGAATTGACAGTTACCAGAAGTCTTCTACATGAAGTAAGGACGCATGTGAAAGTTAGCACAACTCTCGCTGTCACTAGATTGCAAATGCAAGAGCTCAGACGGTACCAAGCAGTAGTCCAGAAGAGTGAATAAGAAATGTTAATTTGGTCAGAAACTTTCCTCATTCAGTGGCTAAATTGTCCCTGAGGCGAAAATTTTAATTGCCAATGTGTGTGTGTATATTTGCATTTGAGTGACAGAGCAAGAGACATAACCTAAAGGTTCAGGGGTTGAGCTAGCTCGGCTAGAGGAACATCGCAGAGTAAGCAAGATGAGTGATATGAAATTGGAAAGGAATAGAGGACGAAACAATGTTTGTTGAGCTTACCTCCATTTCGAGTGAAAGTGTTTGATGAAGAGATTCGAGGTCGATTTCACCAGAAGACGACGGAGGATGACGCTGTTGTCGAGACAATCTTATTCGATTCCGATGAAAACGTGCTAAGCTTTCGTCCGTAGTATGATAAACATCGTCAGAGCTGAGTATCATCCCTACAACCGAATTCAAGTTGACAGTTTAAAAAAACCAACCAAATAACTTTATAACTCATCAAAGAGTTTAGATATGAAGTTAGGGATAAACCGGTGAGCTTTCTTGACTCGTTGGCTTGAATTCGGTTGTAAGGATGATACCTTGCTCTGATGATGTCCGTCATCGGATGGGCGAAAGCTTAGCACGTTTTCACCTAAATCGAATGGGCTTACCGTTGAAACAGCGCTAACATGAATGTTCCAGTAAAGCCAATCGGCAGCTGGTCATGAGGAATCCGCCGTCGTCTTCTGCTGGAACAGACCTTCGAATCTCTTCATCCAACACTTTCATTGGAAATGGAAGTAAGCTCAACAATTACGAAGCAAGATCTTCCTCGAAACCGAACTTTTCTTCGCATATAAAACAATGTTTTCCCCGTCCGCTAATTCTTTTTGCATCAGCATGAAAAGATTGGCAAACTTTTGGTTATTGTTGAGCTTACTTCCATTTCGAGTAGAAGTGTTGGGTGAAGAGATTCGAGGGTCATTTCCACCAG